CAGTAGCCATGTTCCAGTTCAGTGTTTCTTTTGTAACACAACAAACCATTTTATTAGCTCCAGTGTAGGCTATTCTCTTCTTCTAGCAGCATGCTTTACTATGAAGGTCATCAAAAATAAACAGACATATCAGTTACAAGCCAGTCCTTGACACTGCTCATTCATTCAAACAGCCACACACACTCTCTTTCTATGAAAGCCTCAATATTTCATTCCTAAAGAGGAGACGCACAAGCCAGTTCTCCAAGGCAACACATTTGTTATTGGTACAACAGAATGCTGCATCAAGGGGGCAGGTGCTAATAAGGCTGAAGTCAGAGACTAATTACACCACTGAGCAATTCTCCTTCAGAACCAGTCCCACCCTGAGTGTACACAGTTAAACTGATGATTTACCATTTGTGAATGGAGGGCCCAGGCTTTTTACAGGCCTTTATTAATGGCTGACACAAACAATTCAGACAGAGGTTAACGCACACATGTCCTTTAATCGTGCAGCACCCATGGTTTATTTGCTCTGTGACAACTTGTGGTAGTAAGACATCTGATTATAATATGAGACAAGTTTCTCCCATACTCACTCTCAGTGTGTGGCCATGTAGAGGACCCCCTGCAGCACAACCACAAAAACCTCACCAAAATAACTACAGCTGCTGGGATTCATCCCTCTGTCCAAATACCCAAGGGGCTCCCTGTTTCTGACAAACATGCGCAGTGAGGCAGGCAGCGCCGCTCAGACGCATCGAGTGCACATGAAAAAGACAGGAACCTCGACTGGGTGGCCTGGCTGTAGCCTGCCCACTGCCTGGGCCAAAGCAGCAGACGGTGCATTACCCTGATGGATTGTCCACTTATGCTGTAACATCTGTACTCCTCTACAGATAACAGAGGAATGTGTTTTTTCAGCTAGCACCCACTAGCAACAAATGAGATTACAAACAAAACTAGCTGAGACTACAGAAGAATGCAGTAACCTGTCTGTGAGTCAGCCTCCACTCTGGTCCACACGAATCAAGCTCAGCCTGACCCTCAAGTTTAAGCAAAACATCCCTGAAGTCTAAACACACAACACATTTCTGTGCTCATCCTTCCCTTGAACCAACTGAGAAACTTCAAGCTACATGTTTAGGCGAGCTCTTCTGTTAGTACACTTCCTGAATGTCTGGATGACATTAAATCTTGCTTTTAACTTTTTAAAGCTGAATGAGGATAAGACTGAGGTGATAATATTTGGTGATTCTGTTGGTTCACCACTGGGCTCATCAGAACCTGCTCTCCCTCGAAGCCGTGCGTGTCCCCAGTGAGAAGAACCGTGCTGTGGATCTCATGTCACGAGGCAGACCTCAGCCCAGCAAGTGGAGGCTGAACCTGTCCCTTTTTCAGACACTGTGGGACAGGTTCGGCCCAGCAGTGGCAGGCCTGTTTGCAGCACTTGGGAATGTGCAGTGCCACCTCTGTTTTTCACTGAACGCTCAAGAGGAATGGCTGCGCATCCTCCTGATAGCTCTGGAGCACACAAGCAATCTCTCATCTGCTCGGCGCAATCCAGCAGTGCCCCGTGTCAGGTCAACGGCTGTGGGCCTGGCCCCTGAACGGGAGTGACTGGAGAGCCTAAGGTTGCCTCCGGCGGTCATACACGCAATTCAGTGCACGAGAGCTCCGTCTGTTATGGCACCTTACGCTGCAAATGGTCAGTTTTTCAACGTTGTCGCCATTGTGTGTGTGTGCCCTTCCTGCACACACGCACTCTGGGTGTACGCTCTCCATGGTACCCATGTATATTGATTATATTTTATATTGTTGTTTGTGGTTTATAATTTATACAGTTTTATTGCAATGTACAGCACTTTGGTCCACTCTGGTTGTTTTTTAGTGCTTTATAAATAAAGTTGGTATGGTATGTTTAATCTCACAACATATCACACAGCCCTGAGTAAATGGTCTTAAACTTGTATAGTGCCTTTCTACAAATTAAAGCGCTTTACAATATTTCCCATTCACTCACACATTGAGCTAGGGGTTGCTCAAGAAGCTGGGAATCGAACCACCAATCCCCCAGTCAGGAGACAACCCACTCTACCTCCTAAGCCACAGTCTTCTCCACCCATTATGTCAACTCGACTCACTGTCAGCCTGCAGCTTCTAACCTTCGCAGTAACTCTCGCTGAGACTTTCTATACAATAAATCACTTCATTTTACCTGATGTCTGAAACATAAGACGGTGTCATAACACCTTTTGGCTTTACTGAGCTTCATAGTGTTTCACTGATATATACACTAGGCTCTGGTCTAGGGACATGAATGCCCAAGCTTCTTATTTAGAATTAGCACTGTGAGGAACTTAACCTCAGCAGTCCAAAACCACCACTATGACTACAGTATGTGGACATAGTAAACTTATTTTTCTTTTGTATCTAAACAAAGTTGCCAATAACCTTGGTGCACTGAGCAGTTCTATGGACCAAGTACAGGGTCTCAAAGATGATATAAGTTAGATTGTCTCCCAGAAATCTCTTCAGGGCTCTTAGTGGGGAGGTCAGGACGAGAGGTTAGGAGGACATGGGACGCGTGTCTCCGGAGAAGATTGTTGACGATGATTAAAAAGGACAACAATGAACCACACTGGAGGTTTAAAATAGTCCCATCTCAGCATGTTTTTTTCACATCATGAAAGTATGAGGCTGGGACAGGAAATGGGAATTCCTTAGCCCTCAGGAAATAGTGACAGAACAGGATACCAGGGATAATGGGGGCAGCTGTGGCACCCACGTCTTCAACTTCACAGTAGCAAAGTAGGAAGGAAGGTGGAGGCTGGGGTGAATGGCCTGAACAGCCAACAGGACAGACACTCAGCAATGTATTCAGCATTTGGCACAGGAAGCCAAATTTTCTTCCCATTGCTGTTGTGCACAGATCTATATATGGAAATGGCCTGTCTCCTCTAATCATAGAACCACGATCATAGTGAAAAGAATGCAAATGTCTAGTCACCTTTGAGATAACACATTATATAACAAAGTGCTGTATAATCCCAATCTCCTGTTTAACTGCCACAATAAAGCAACATTGACCTTTATGTGGTTACAAAAGCCAGGAAGTTTATGGAAACAGGAGCAATAAACCAGAGTAATGGGGACTATTTGTAGGCTCATGTCACACCACAAAATGTAAGAACACTGACACAATTTATTGTTTTCATCCTGTGCTGTCAGTAGAGCACAATCACAATTGTATTCTATGGCTTTCATACTTGTATCTGGCAAACTGTCTCTGACCTGAAGAAGCTCCCACTAGGATTTGGGAAAGAGAAACACACATTTCACAATAACCTCACATTTGCTGCAGGAGGCAGAAATAAAACTTTTAAAGCTGCGTTTACACAGAACTTTCACTTTCTTATAACTATGTGTAAATCATTCAATCTTTGTCAGTATTAACTAAATGTTTTCTTCACTGATGTGCTCCTAAAACTGATTCAACTTCCAATAAACCTGACTATCCAGTTTCATCAATCATATACTGTCAGCACCAGACACATCAGTGTCATCTGTGTTAAAAGCTCCTCTGGCTTTTTTAACTACCCAAAACCAACAAGGCCTCACAGCAGTGTTATTTCTGTGAGCGAGGCCCATGCTGCTATATACCCCAGCTGTGATGTCAGCTTGCAGTGCTGCTACAATTACTCTGCCATGACGTAATCAGTTCCACTAACCTGCACAGTGCCAGCATCTGGTACCAAGGACAAGCTAAAAGCAGCAGCTAATATGCTTAATTAAAGCACGATCGATAAAACCTGCAATACCCAGTTGTTATAGCAAACTATTTAGGCTTTATTTATTTTTTAAAAATCAACCATATATGTTTGTCTTTAGTAGACAAAATGGCTTGTGGTTGACTGACACAGACAGCCGGGTAATAAAGTTTTGAAAGAGTGCTGCATGGGAGTTAATGACATTAACTGCAGAGATGGCCAGTCTTATATTAAATTAAATGCATGGTTAGTGTTGTTGGCTCCCAGCAAAAAGATGCCAGGTTCGAGCCCCGGCCGACCCAGAGTCTGTGCAGAGTGTGCATGTTCTCCCTGTGTGGGCGTGGGGTCTGTCCATGTACTCTGGCTTCCTCCGACAGTACAAAGACATGCAGCTTAGGTTGACTGGTGACTAGAAATTGACCCTAGGAGTGAGTGTGAGTGTGTGTGGTTGTTTGTCTACATGTCAGCCCTGTGATAGACTGGAGACCTGTCCAGGGGGGACCCCGCCTCTCACCCAGTGTCAGCTGGGATTGGCTCCAGCCCCCCACGACCCTACATATAATATATCCAAATAGATAATGGGTGAATGTGAGTGCTTCTCTATCTCTCACCCGATGTCAGTTGGGATTGGCAAACAGTCCCCCCTCAATTCACTGTTTTGCTGTCTGCAATGAAGAAAATCTGGAGATGGCAAAAGCAAGAAAAATGCTTCAAGAGCAAAAGGTAGCAGAGAGCTAGAGGCCATGAATATAGAGTTAAAGCCTGGAAAGTTTTATGCTTTTTCCCCATTTTTCCCCTGTCACTGTGCATTGTGATAAAGTGGGCTCCTCGCATAAGTCCTCATAAAAATAAGGGGTGGGGAAAGGCACAGTAGTAATAAACTGAATGGAAAACAGAGATGGCTCTTCTGTAGCTTTTATTGTTCATTGTGCTTTCATGTATCTTACTGTGCTGTCACCTCTGCCACTGGTTAAAAGGATGAAAGAGAAGAGGAGATGTTTATGTCTCAAAAACAAATCCAAAGCCCTGTGATATCACCGCGTTCTGGCAAGGTGGTGAGGAGGGAGGGGAGGGAGTAGCAGGATGTGAAGGCTTCATCATTCAGGCACAGGCAGACATCAGGCACACACACACACACACTGCATTCAGCCACTTGAGCCACAGATGGGGGAGCTTTATAGGGCTGAGTGATCTTCCACACAAATAAAATCTGTCACAGAGAATTCACTTGATTTTCTGGACCCTTACTTGTGGTTTCATTGACAGAAGGCCACGGCGTGCTTCCATCATCCTCTCCACTCACCAGATCTTGGAGACAGAAACAGAAATATAGCGGTATGATCAACGTGCATGTTCAAGAACAGGTACACTTGTAGAAACTCAGTAGGAGATATAAGCCCCCCTTTAAAAGCATGAATCCTGCAAGTTAATGTTCATATGGACAAACGCATTGAAATATTTTAATATGCATCTCTGAGCAACACATCCTCATTTTCAGTTCTGGAATGGGTTAACAATCTAAAGAATGCACGATGAAAACAAAACTCCCATGAATTAAGGGCAGCTGTTGCTGTTTATTGTGGTCATACATCCTCTACCAAGCCCACCTCCTGAAGCTTCATCAGCAGCAAAGTCCTCGTCATCATCCAGTAAACTCTGAGATGCCTGGACAGCTCTCTCCGCCTCCAAGTCTTCTGGCAGAGGGACCTCTCCCCACACCTTGGATGCCTGTGTCATCTGCAGCAAACACAGAGAGATTTGTAGGGTCTGAAGCCTCTGCAAACAAAGGCCACACCTGGCGCTATACATGGACCATGGAAGGGTGGAGGGAAAACAAAAGCTGAGACAGGAAATGTGACTCAGTGATGTGTTTACTTTGACCATTTATTATCTTTAAGGCCCTCTCAAGAGGTTGCATGCAAATAAAAGTTCATGAAACCAGTATGAACAGAGGTCATTTAGTGCTCAGTGATATTTTTACAGCACACATTTCCAAAGAAATCATTACTGTTTGCTTTTGTATACATTTCAAGCCTTAATGGTGGCAGTTGGCTACAGGTATTTACAGCAGCTATAACAGAGATTGGAATGACTGGATGACACAAATCTTTTTAAGTATGCTTTAAACTCTGCCCCCTCAGGTAAAAAAAAAAGAAAAAGAAAAGAAAAATATCCAGCATATCCCGACTGGTCTTTTATGATCAGCGCCTTGCTCTGGAATTAGGAAGGAGTCTGTTACAGAAAACATTATGTCACCACCAGCAGCAGTAAAAACACCTCAAATAAATGCAGCCTGTCAGAAAACAGGTTGCTTCAAGTCATGTCATTCAGCTTATAGGATCACCAGTCTCACCAGGATCACCAGTCTTTAGGACTCATCCTGTTGCATGACTGGAACAATAGCTGGGCTGTGACCGTTGGACCGGAGTGAAACTGAAAATGCAGTGCCTTTCTCCAGACCACAGCAGGGTAAAAGTTCAGTTAACTTAAAACTTTGAGCATAGGGTGCTAGAGCTGGAAATCAGACCTCTATACCTTTTTTTGTAACTGTACCAAACTTGATTGTCCATCCAATAGTTGTTAAACCATTTCGCTAAAAACCATAAATGTCAACTGCATGATGGCACTATAGAGGGGAGGTCAGAGGATCACCAGTCTTTAGGACTCATCCTCTTGAAACCATGAATGTTTAATATGCTATGCCAACACTGATGAGGTAAACTACAGATGCCTGGTTGAGACAAAGTGTACAAAATGCAGCGAAGCCTCCAGTTCGAAGCTGGTTTTTGCTGACATGAGTATTTGACAGTCCAGTAGAACACTGGTTACTGCTAATGTGACACAAAGCACTAGCATTACATTAAGTTTGAACGACTTGAATTCAGTACAAAGGTAAAATCATAACCATGCTAAGTCGCTAATGTTACCAAAACCTTAATCAAATCTGGCTCCTTTGACTGCTTTGAACTCTCTCCATCTCAAAAAGCCAAACTGATGTTAACCCTGGTTTTAGCTCTTTCTTTGTTTTACTCTCCCTGTACAAAAGAACGGCACCTCTTCAATCGGGCAGCTGCTGTTTCAGACTTTGAAATAACTACTTGCAAAAAATGTTTCTTATATCCTTGTTTAGGTGGCAGGTGGGGCCAATTTACAAGCAGTGACAATATAAGCTCTGTAAGTAATAGACATCACATCTCTCTACAGGCAATCCTCAACAAAACCACTAAGTCACTCAAAGACAGAGCTGCCTCCTCTTGTAGTACATCTGTTAGAGCAATAATGGGTGTCAGTGAAGAGACATAAAACTTAGCCCGCTCTCATATCTGATGATCTGGATAAAGCTCACTGTGCCCACCCAAGTGGAGCACAGCGTGGGTTTGTTATCTCTGGTCTCATCATCTCATCATCCAGCCATTTAAATACGACTATGGCACGATGCCACCCCTGGCATTTCCCCTTTCATGGCCCGCCAGTTACTATTTCCACCCAACTCTGTCATGGTAGTTTTTCCATTTAAATGCCTCAGCTAATAAATAACTCGATCTATCCCCCCAAATCCTCTCTCCCTTGACTGAACATCCTTACCACAACAATCCCCGGCTATTTTCAAAAAGAAACCGCTGACTAACCAAATTCCTTTCAGTGGTGCCAACCAGATAACCATTGGTGTGATAATCTCCAGCTTCCCACTCCTTTGGGATGGGGTATCATTTGGACACGCTGGATATCGACTGGGCAAAAACTTCCACAAATGTAAAGACAGCCTCATGAAAGATGAGTTCGTATTTGCACCTGATCTTAAAGCTGACATGTTAAACTTCACCTGCTTGAGAATGTCAACCTGGCCTTGTTTTAGGCAGAGCTAGGAAGATATGAATGTGCTTTCTCACTATACTACTGCTTTCTAGTTCAAAAAGCTACTGTCACCTTTACTCTCAGTCTAGGAGTTGAGACATCTGCTGCTTTTAAATGATCTCTCCCTCGAGATAAAGGTCTTCACTAACTGCGCAATTCTTGAACTCTGCCCCACCAGAGGACATCGGCCTCAGAACCTCTCTCCGCTTTTAAAACTTAACTGCAATTTCCACTGGGACACATCACAACCAGGTATATTGAAAGAGGAGAGCATGCACACGTACATACATATAAATATCAAACACACATCATGGGACACACACATAGACCCCATTTAAAATTGGTTTTAAAATGCATCCTGGGTGATCAGATCACAAGTGGACAGCACAAAATACAAGTGTAAACAACCCCGAACACGGATTGCTTCTTCTTTGGTTATGGAAACCACTGGCACTTGTCTGGTAACAGACTGATGTAACACAGTGATTGTGCCCGTGGCCGTTCCACTGTTTACTTATGACTTACTGTGCTCACAATACACAATGTTTGCTTTGTCGGACAAAGTAGTGGTAGGAAAGGGGAACAATACAATCCACTGATAATGAGTGACAGGTGACACTAAACAGAAGCCTGAAGACAGGCCTTAAGTTTGCCCAGCTGTTGTTTAATGGGACCAGGGAAAAGAACAGCATTTTGGTCTGTGAACAGTTGATAAATGCTCAGACAGAAGCTGAACTTCCTGGAAAAGGACTGGTGAGACTGAAATAACTGAGCTAAGATCCTTTCAGAGAGTACCACCACTGGCCGCTGTTACATCTTGCAGATGGAGACCTGCAGTCATCTCCACTTCCAAACAAATGCTTGCTTTTCAACATGAATATTTACACGGCAAGCCCACTTATTTCACTCATTAGCCATTAATAGCCAATCAAATGTTCATGCTTCTTTGTTTCCACAGACAGATAAGAAACGGATTAAAGCCACTTAAAGCTCCCTGATTCACAACAGCTTCTACATGTGATCACAAAAACAAATGTTTGAGACATCTGTTATCTGACTCAGTGGGATAAACATGTTTTCATGGGATTTTTAGTATCATAACCGTGATACTGAGATAATGCTGTGGTAACTAATGTGGCTTTCCCATATTAATCATTGCTCCTGTGCTTTAATGCTCCTTAACTGGTGCTCGCTGGTAAAAGAGCAAATTGTCTACCAAGCTGCCCACAGTGCACATGCAGAAGGGCTTTGTGAGGGATACTGTGGGAGTTCTTTAACTTTTTAATCTCAAATGCTGGTGTTTCCTGTATCACACCAACAAAGACGGCGATTTGTTTCCAACTTGCTGCTGTATGTGGACTAGATGCAAGAGTTTTTGCAGGGTTGCATTAAGTCAGGTTATGTAAAAATAACTTACGTGCACACATGCACACACAGAGATTTGGATGCCCAAAGCCTCACACCAAAGTAAAGGTGTAAGAATATACTTGATTATATTGTATGTATCGCTCATTTTTGAAGAAACAAATATTTTACAGCTCTACCACACAAATGTTGATCTTAAGGGGGGTTTGCATTTGGCCTCGTGTTGTGAGAGAGTGATGAACGAGAAGAAGGATAAGCCCAGGAGAAATGTTCCTTTTCCACACACCTGAAGGTATAAAGCACACAGACATCTCGAGATTTTTGACAGCAACAATCTGGCAATGTTTTGTATGACAGAGACAGAGTTTCCTATGTTTAGCCCTTGCTTGGAGTAGTGGGTGGACTAACACACTGCCACTTCTGATGCCAATCCTTTGCCTGGGCCCCTGCTGCATAACGGGCCAATGAGTGAGGCCCTTGTGCTCTCTGCAGCCCTTTGACATTTCTGCAGGGTTTAATCCAAAGTGTTTGGATGGAAAGAAAGTGGAAGGAGCCTCTTCATTCAACTGAGAAATGTTCTGTGACAATGTGCACTAATTTTTTTCTCAAAGTGTTCCATGACTAATACTGTGGATGCAGTACATGGTGGAGTTTCTTGAAAAAAAAAGGTCTTGTAGAAAAGAGGGAATGGAGCCAGGGAGCAAAAACTGCAGGATAAGTCTGCATGTTTGAACACATGCTTGGAGTTCCAGCCTAGCCATCTTCCCCCAGGTCATTCATTCTCTTTCCCACACAGCAGCCATGCCATGCATTTTACAATAAGCTTGGTCTCCAACTGGAAACAGACACTGGAACCCTGTATTGTCTCCATGTGTGTAATGCCTTTATCAAACATATTCCACTATTGTAAGGTGATGCAGCTGAGTGCTATGTAACAAGGACTGTGCCATTAAATATACCGAGCGGCAGTATCTTTGTCTCTCTGTGGAGTCAACTTAGTGATTTCAAAGAAGATGTTCAAAGAGTAATCCACCTATCTAATACTGCAGCATTTAAATCTGCTGGGCTCACAATTATAAAACAATTTGTAATTATAAAAAACAGCCAAAATCTTTGCAGTAGGACTACTGTCCTTTTTTATAGGAGGGCAGCATAGCAGCACGGTGGTGAGCGCCTCTGCCTCACAGCAAGAACCAGGCCAACCCAGGGCCTTTCTGTGCGGAGTCTGCATGTTCTCCCTGTGCCTGCGTGGGTTCTCTCCGGGTGCTCCGGCTTCCTCCTAAGTCCAAAGACATGCAGCTTAGGTTGACTGGTGACTCTAAATTGCCCCTAGGAGTGAGTGTGTGTGGTTGTTTGTCTACATGTCAGCCCTGTGACCGACTGGCGACCTGTCCAGGGGGGCCCCCGCCTCTCGCCCAGTGTCAGCTGGGATTGGCTCCAGCCCCCCGACAACCCTGTTCAGTTAATAAGCGCTATAGATAGTGGATGTATGGATCTGTATGTCATTTGCAAATACC